ATTACCTGTTCAGGCGTCTTCCCATGATATTCTGCAATTTCCTTAACAACAGAAAGCTTCAGCATTGGTCCATGCACTGATCTTGACCTCCTAAATGTAATCCTAGGAGTTCCTGGTTCATCCTCTGATCCACTATCAGATAGGCCAAGGCCCATGGTTGGCACAGCTCCACTTGTTGCTGGCACTCCTAATGGAGTATGAGCAGAGACATGAATGCCGTTCTCTTGACAGAACTTTACAAGCTCATCCTGTCTCCAAAAAGGATGCAACTCCACCTAAAAGAAAGGATTCATTAACAGGTTAAAATATACGATCACAAGGGTACATACTTTTATCATTTGACTAGACTACCAAAATTGGAAAGACACAAAGATTTTGACCAAACTACCAAAATTGGAAAGATGCAAAGATAAACATTCATCATTGACTAAACTACCAAAATGCACCAAACCCATACCTCTCGCTGCACTTTCTTGATTTTGAATGTGGCCCAAATTCAATGTGAGATGACCTCCTCTCTTACTGAGGAGGTTGACCCCTCATCATCGACCACTATCTCAGTAGCAAGGGTACAGGTACCAGGTATAGGGACACAGCTATATATATGTATCTTATTTATTATACATATTGAAATTAATAATTTACATAAGATCAACATAATTTTTTCATTTACATATAAAATCAATATATAAGAAATAAATGTGAAGTGTACAACATACGTCCAAGCAGCGCATGAGGCGTGTTTTAAATTAAAACATGTATTATATAATTGAGTATACACATGAATAGACATATGCATATATTCAAGAAGTGTCCAAGAAGTTTCGACAAGGATATGTGTCAGGTATGGCTGCAGACAAAAGTGCCCGAGTAACATAGACCACTGTGGAAACTAAGGAAGGAAGTTAGCATACTATTTTACTTGCATTTATTTAAGTAAATAATTAATTATGTTCTAGTTAAATTTACATTATTAGCTATTGATTGTATTTGTTTTTTTGGGTATCTGCATATATACCCCTCAAATCTTTTATATTTGCAAATTACCCTCCAAATTTTGATAAATCCAAAACTATCCCCCTAATTCTAATTGACATCATATTTGAAGTATTTTGAGTGACACCATAACAGAACCAAGCCACATGTATCATCTTCACCTAATAGTTTTATCCTGCTAACATCAATAACTAAATAACTGAAACACCCTCCCTCCACCCTCCTAACTTAAAAAATGAAACAACTTGCTTATTCAGTTATTTTTATAGTTAAACCCCTCTCCCTTCCACATTTCAGGGGGTTATGTGAAAACCCCCCGAAGTTTAGGGGGTTATGTGAAATTAAAAGAGGGCTTTGTGCATCAATGTCACGTAGAAACATACTTTAACCATTGAACTTGGCTCCAAACCCACCAAAGTGTTCTTTCTTCTTGTGGTATTAGTGTTTCGTAGACACAATTCAGAATTTCAAGTGCTTTTGTATATCATTTCAAGCCAAGCCTGTATTGGACTGTTTGTATAAATAAATGAATGAAGAGTTTAGTGCCTATTTAAGATTCATCATGTATGTTTAGTGTCAATCTTAGGCCTTTGTGCAACCCATTAAATTAAGTACTGACAGCATCAAAGTCATGCAGGAATATACAATAAACTGTGAGCTTAGCTCTATCTCAGAAACATATCAAAACGATATTCGCAGGTATAACTTCATTTTTCATGCACACTTGTGTAACATTTCCAGCCATGTCCACATTGGCATGTTCATGTAATTGTTGCAATGCTTCTCAAACAGCTATAGATGAAAGGGAATGAAATGCTTAAACCGAATGTTTGATTGCAACTTAAATGCCGTGGAGTTGCTTTTCAATATAGTGTAAGGTATCATAGTGATGCTTACTAAATAGTAATTAGAAGCATGGACACTTGAAACATGGAGGTTTACATCTCAGAGACTAAAGGATTCCATCCCATCATGTCTTAACCTTTGCTTCTTCTTCTTCCTTTCTTTTATTTATTTATTTATTTATTTTTTGAAATCGTGTAGTCAGCCTATTGGAAACAATTCAGAAGAGACAATATTGGGTAAGCCAACAGTCTCGTGAAATGGGTAGATTATCATTGTTTTAGCTTTCATTACTATCAGTAATCAATTTTTACCTAATTCAAGCTCAATATGCAAAATCAAGAAACAAAGTCAGATAATGCATTTCTCCGACTTCAAGGGTTCAAAGAAAACTAGACAAGTGAGCAAATTTTCCGCAATGGGCGAAAGCCTGACGAACAACTTATAATTTTCTAAGCTATTAATCAGAATACTAATAAAGCTACTAATAACTGAAACATTTTCTTCAAATAATTACTAGTGCATAACATACCATTTATAAATATTCTTATTGTCGAGGGATTCACAGGGTATTAACTAATTCCATAATTGTCTCGGCTATTAATCAGATCGCTACTACTCAAGCAGCTATTCACTGTAACATCTTTTACAAATAATTAATTGTGCATAATATGTAATTTATGAAAATGAAAACAAATCAGGCTAACCTGATTCACTGCAGGAACAATTTTGGCAAACTGAAGCAGCTCCTCAATTTGCTGAACACTGAAATTGCTTACGCCAATAGCACGAACCAAACCCATCTCCACAAGATCCTCCATCGCTTTCCAAGTCGGTTTCAAACGTTGCAAAAACTGTCTATAATCACTCCCCGAATTCCACGGAGGATCAGTAGCATCTCCAAACGCTGAACTCTCGCTCCAATGCACAAGATACAAGTCTAAATACGACACACCGAGGTTCTTCAAAGAAACTCTAACGGAGTTCTCAATCCTCTTTTGAGAATTTGTAGCGAAATAGAGTTTCGATGTCAAGAAAACATCTTCTCTCTTAAGACCACCGCTAAAAGCCTCAGCCAATGCTTTTCCCACCTCTGCTTCATTTTCATACAAATGAGCACAATCTATATGGCGATATCCAACCTTTAACGCAGTAGACACAGCTTCGACGCAAATATCTCCTCCAGATTGCCATGTACCGAGCCCAATAGCAGGAATCCTTGCCCCGGTGCTCAAAACGAAGCAGTTACCATTTGCACCTCCCTTTCCTCTCATTTTCCCCAATCTAATCACCTAAATACCCAAAAATACAACTTAAATAGAGAGATGCTACACAACTGAAAGAAACCAACTTTTTCCGCAAAATTAAGACAAGGAAGTGATTTCAATAACACAAATAACACCCAAGAGACCCAATTCATTCAAAGATTAAAAAATGAATTGAATTAATAAAAGAAAACCCAGATGGCTAACAACCTCATAGAACAAAACCCAACAAATGGAACAACTAGAATCAACAAGACGCGACTAATGAAAAAACCCTCAAAAGGGCACCCATGTATAAATATCTACAAGAATCCAAAACCCCAGAGACGTGTTCAAAAACCATCATTAGCAAACAGGAAAAATCCAACAAAAGATTGAAAATAAAGCCAAAACAAGCAAATAAACAAACAGATAGCGACCCACTGAAGAGAAGGAAAGGGGTAAAAAGAGAATTTGAGGGTACAAAGAGAACAACAAAGCGCTCACCTAATCGAGACGACCCAAGATCCGCCACCCGCCACCAAACTCTTTTGAAAGAGATTGAGATTGAGAGATGATGCGAATATTTTTTTTGGGTTTTATTTTTTCCTTCAGAGTTTTTTCTTTCTTTCTTTGTAACGGTAAAGAGAAGAGAGAGAATGAGCAGTCGTTTTCGATTGCAGTCTTTACTGTAGAAATTGTACGCAAATCTCTCTTCTGTTTCTTTTGATTTATTTATTCATTCCTTTTGGGTGTACTTTGCTTTTTTATGCTGCTATGAAAAAAATGACGGGAAAAAGGAAAACCGCAGTGCCGGCTCTGGGTAAAGAACCGTACGCACTGCGTTAATCAGATAGCATCAGAATTTTGTTATATTTGTAAAGAATGCCCTGACTGTGCAAAATAGAGGAGGGGAAAGACGTCGAAATCCTTGAGAATATTATATCTCCTTATTTTAGGTTATTAGCATACCAACTTTCCTATTTGTTTACATTTTTTTTTTCAGATTTTATGCAAATTTGAGTTTGTGGATATTTCTTTATTGCAGTTCTTTTGCAAGATTTACAATTTTCTCCCCATTTTTTTAAGAAGATACTAGTATACTTGATCCATGTTTGCTCTCCAAGGACCATGCCGCTAAGTGAGTAATCCAAGGTTGAGGTGTTGAGCACCATCTTCTTATGAGCTGAAAACCTTAGATCGTGCAAAATAGAAACCCTTTTTTGTGCAAGGGTAACAAATTTTTCACACTTCCCTATAAATCATTGGCCGATAAAAATTGAGTCAGGGTTGTTTCAATATCCATATCATAGGACTCTTAGCACAACACCAAAGTCTTAAAGTTATCGTGAGGATTGAGGTTATAATGCAAATAGAAGTTTTTATTCAGATTCGACATTCAAATATCATGACGTATATGTAAAGTCACAATTTACTATTTAAAGTTTTATGTTATTCTAAAAATTAAGATTTTCCGTTCATGTCCCACGTGTTCTCAAAATAAATTACACATGTTCTCAAAATAAACTCAAATATTGTTTAGATTTTGGTACGTAGGAGTTTATGTATCTAATTCTGGTCCAAAATGGTCTAGTGAGCTAGAAGAAATATCCATTTTTAAAACAAACAATATCTTTGCTCAATTAAATTATTTTTTACGATGATCAGCATGATGTAGACACGAACCTTCATAATCTTCACCATATGATTAAAGTTAGCTACCTAAGCATTGATTAAAAAAGTAACCTATAAATAAATAAGAGAATTCATGGTCTTATCCAAAATGGCGCTTCTGTTGGAAAAAGTCCGGTCTGCCTTCTAGATGCAAGATAGAAGTCAAAAAAAATCCTACTGCAAAATATACTAATTTTCTTTTCTTTCCTTTTTTTTTTGTTTCATATTAATGAATAAGAATATAACAAGCCTTAGTTTTTTATCTTTTCAAATTATTCTCTTTGAGAAATAAATTAATTAATCGCACGGTCCACGTGGCCATTGTCGAAATCAAATTGTCCCCAAAGATTGGGAGAGTTGTCTCTATCTATGTCCTGTGCATTTTTAACGCTAAAAGTAGGGACTTTAGAGAGAGAAATTGATGGCATTTTTCTTAGTGGGCTCAGAGGACATTAACTACGTAAGGACAAAGGTGGAGAAGAGGATGATAGGTCATAAATTGAAGAATAGTTGCTTATAAATGATGATGATTATCATTATGATTGAGATTGCTAAAGTTACTTTTCTTTTAAAAAATATGAGGTTATTTTTGTGGGGAAAATGTAAAAAAAATAAAGCTTTGGGGCTCAACCCCTTGAAGTTTTCTCCATATACTTTAACCCCAAAAAGACCCAAGAAATTGTGATCTAGCCATTTTTCACTCTCTCCCAAAAATTAACCCCAAAAAGTTTATGTGCCTTTCTCCTCCTCCTCTCCTCTAACTGCTCCTTTCTCCTCTTCTCCTCTTCTACTCTTCTCTCTCTCTCTCTCTCTCTCTCTCTCTCTTAACCCTACCTTCCCCCCAAAGGCTATACCCTTTAACCCTCCCCCAAAAACTGACGCGCGCTCTCTCTACCCTCTCCCTTCTCTCGCTCAGACTCATGTAAGCTCAAGAGAACAAAAAAAAAACCCTAGATTTGAACTTAACCCTCCATAAGGTCCCTCAAAAGTTTGTTTAAAAAAGTGGAAAATGACCGAAAACCAATTTGGAGAAGAGTGAAGGAGACAGCTGTAGGCATCGAAAATTGCCTATGGGTCTCCACGAACAGCTCAGTGTTAAAGAACAACAATGAACGTCACTATTTGGTTCACAGGAGTTCGACTGGTGTCGGTGAACGCTTGAAGTGAACCGACGAACTACGTGAGCTGACAGAATTTCAGAATAACGAAGGCACAGGCTAATCGAGAATCCCGCGATGTTTACAGAAGGAACAACGCCCTTCGTGTCTCGTTCATTCTACAGATAATCTAACCATTGGAACTGATAGAACTCTTCGTCAGACTTTCAACGCATTTGAAATCACTCAAATCCGAGTTCAGACAAAGAAGTTACAGCGAAAACAGTCAAACGGGCATTGAAAACGTCTCAAAGCTGAACTGAGGCACCTACGGTGTCTCTTCGTCAGATCTACATCACCCGTACCCGATCCTTAGTATTATCCTGTTGTGGTAATACTAAGAAGAGCAAATATCTCGCTTTTATCAAGATAGGCGCTTCAAGTTTTTAGATCTCCTCGCGGATCGACGAAGCTCTGGATCAGATCTGATTGCCAGGTAGTCCACGGATATCGACGTCCCCGTCACAGGCTAAAGACCCACGCAAGCAAGAGACGACGAACGGATCTTGTGTTTATTTTCAAGAAAGTTGTAATCTTTATTTCTTTGTTGGTTGAATTCATTTGTAACGTTTAAAGTTTAATGAAATCAATGATGAAGGCAACTTTCGACGAAAACAAACCGGCGACCACAGTGGGAGCCAACGGCCTCGTTACCGAGGCCGTCGTGACGCAACCGGCCTTCAAGATCCGGGTGAACGAAGAGATCGAATACGAGTTCGATCAACAGAAGTTTGAAGAGTACCTCTCTTCCTCCTCCTCCAGATCCGCCTCCCCAAACGGGCGTAGGAAGACTTCCTCTTCCAAGAGTGCTCGCGGGCCCTCAGGATCGAAGATCCAAGATCCCCTCGCCGCTATTGCACGCTACACCCATGGCTCACGACGTCCCTGCGGCACCCGAGAAGGTCGAAGCTGCTGATCCAGATCTCCCTTCCGCCGCGAAGTCAACTGCTGAAGGTGTTCCAACCTTGTCGAAGAGGGCGCGCCAAAGACGGCGTCAACGCCTTGCGCGACAGTTGGCCAAGGCCGCAGAATCGATGGACGGGATCCGCTACAATGAGGATCTAAAGTCCAGACAGCGCCAGGTGCAACAACAGCGAACAACCAACTCCTCCTCCAAAGCGGAGACAAATGAATGGGTCCGCGTCAAGAGGACTCACTCAACCCTTGAAGAGCGAATCAAGAAACGCCGCGCGTTGCTCGCGCATGCCCGAGTCCTTCTGCAGAAAGCGGAAGAGATGCAAAAAGAAGAGACGGTCAAGAAGCCGTCAAAACACAAGCAAGTGTGGGTGCCAAAGGCGAAGCCGGCACCTAAGGCAAAAGGGGACGGAGGTATTGTCCAGTCGTCCTCAAATCCAGATCCCATTTCCCCTGCTCCCGCACCTCCTACGGAGCCAGGTAAGAACGTGGATTCTTCAAGATCTAGGGTTCCTTTGAAAGGTCGCCTCGGTCCTTTACCAGAAGATCGAGGCAAAGCACCTATCAAGGAGCGATTGGGACCGTTGAAAGGTCCCCAAACAACGAACCAGACTGGGGGTCGTGCTAATCCCCCCAAGAAAGATAACAAAGGGAAAGCCCATGTTACCGACCGCATTGGATTGCGTGTCGAAGTTCAAGAGCCCGTTAAGTTTTCACGCTCGCAAAAGCGTAGACTTGAACGAGCGACTTTTGAAAACGCTAATAAAGCGTCATATCCCCAGAGGGAAACACATTCATCTGATGATGATGGTGTTATACCTGGGAAGTCATGCCAACACTCTATGGGTTGTTCCAGTTATCAAACTGATGAGTTGTACTATAGAGCTGGGGGTGCTGGTAAGTCTCGAAAGAGAGATGCTCGAGACACGGATTCTCACTGTCCGTGTGCCAACATAATCAAGGCGGTGCTGTCAGAATGCTGCTGTACTAAATCCCCAAGGAGAGTTTCGGTGTTCGAGAGAATCTCTACCAGAACACCTGAGAACAAGCCAAGACGTTTCCGTAGGAAGAAGCCTGTCCGCCAAGAAGACGAACTCCTAGAGGTGTCTGCTAATATGACCTTTAGCCCAGATCAGTTTGCCGAAATGTCCCAGCGTATGACTCGATTGCGATCGGGGACCAATAGGCGAAGGAATTACCAAAGGATGCAAAAGGGACTTCCTTTGGAAGAAGATGTGTCAGATGATGGTTCAGATTCCTGCTCGGCTATAGCGTCCGACGGCACGACATCTAGCGTACGAATCATTTATGATCAGCGCCGAACAAGTAAGCAAGATGCTTGAAGAGGCCCTGACTAAGCAGAAGGAAGCTTTCAAATTCGAGATGGAGATGGCCATGCAGCAGATGAGAGAGATGCATGATCAGCAAATCGCGGCACTGACAACTCACCAAGGAGAACCCAGTCGTCGCAATAATCCGAATCAAGAGGAGAATGAACGGGAAGAGGATAATGTCAACATAACTATCTCTCCTGTCAACAACAATAACGGAGGCGGTCCCTCGGATGATAATGCGAAGGAAGACCACGTTACCTCTCCCAGAAATCACTCGAAGACAGATACGAGTGAAGACAAGAAAATGAAGGACTTGGAGAGCAAAATCAACGCGTTGATGAATGCTCAAGAAGTGAAGAGGTCCGGCATACCATGTCCATACCCAAGGGAGTGGGAATCAATTCCATATCCGGCAAAGTTCAATTTAATCAACTTTACGCCGTTTGATGGAAAGGGTTCCCCTACCCAACACTTAATATATTTTAAGTCCCACTTAGGAATAATCTCCGGGAATGAACCCTTAATGGTGCGGTCATTCGTTGGCACTCTTCGCGGAGCGGCCTTCGATTGGTATCGTCGCCTCAAGCCGGGGAGTATCAGCAGTTGGGACGACATGGAGGATATGTTTCTAACGAACTTCTTCGACGACGACACCGAGATCTCAATCGGCACTCTATTTGATGAGAAGCAGAAGAATGGTGAGACAGTCGAAAACTTCGTGAAGAGAT